AAAAAGAGAGAGAGAGAAGAGATGGAAGGATTGATCGTCTATGTATCGGTATGGGTCAATGTTCAGCCCAAATATGCGATTGGTGATCAGTAGCCGGTCCTGAGAGCTGATCAGTGATGTAAAACATATGAGCCATATTTTGTGAGTTAAGGGCTGCTGCAGCCCTGTGTGAGGCCCCTTGATCATGGGACCCTGCAGTTCCCCGTTCAAATGCTAGATGGAAATACAGACCTTCTGACTTTTGCCTATAGGACTTAAGGCCTACTCACACTCTGATTTTCACAGATGAAAAGAACACACATCAAGACATACGGAACTGCGATGCTGCGTGAATTATATAATCAAATCCTGCCCTATTTTCTGTGTTTTGTGTTAAAATCAGGCTGAGTAACACTGCATTTATATTGCTCTGGTGCGTTGATGCACATGAACACATTCCTCCCCTTCAGTTGGCCGCATGTGGGTGTTACAAGGAAGTTCCTTCTAAAATCCAACAATCCAATCCAGTAGTCTTGATAAGTCAGTATTTATGGATATGTAGTTTATTCATGACAATGTTAATGGGATAAGACCCAAAATATATTAAGGCATACTCGAATTTCATTACCAATAAGTTTGGAGATTGTGCTACTTACTTCGTTCAAAAATTTTGCAAAAACACACTCCCAAATACAATGCAACAGGGTCCCCTTATACATTATATTGCCAAAAGTATTCGCTCGTCTGCCTTCACACGCATATGAACTTGAGTGACATCCCATTCTTAATCCATAGGGTTTAATATGATGTCGGCCCACCCTTTGCAGCTATAACAGCTTCAACTCTTCTGGGAAGGCTTTCCACAAAGTTTAGGAGTGTTTATGGGAATTTTTGACCATTCCTCCAGAAGCGCATTTGTGAGGTCAGACACTGATGTTGGATGAGAAGGCCTGGCTCACAGTCTCCGCTCTAATTCATCCCAAACGTGTTCTATTGGGTTGAGGTCAGGACTCTGTGCAGGCCAGTCAATTTCTTCCACACCAAACTCGCTCATCCATGTCTTTATGGACCTTGCTTTGTGCACTGGTGCACAGTCATGTTGGAACAGGAAGAGGCCGTCCGCAAACTGTTCCCACAAAGTTGGGGGCATGAAATTGTCCAAAATCTCTTGGTCCACTGAAGCATTAAAAAAGCATCCTTTCACTGGAACTAAGGGGCCGAGCCCAACTCCTGAAAAACAACCCCACACCATAATCCCCCCTCCAGACCCAGACTCGTCCATCGGATTGCCAGATGGAGAAGTGTGATTCGTCACTCCAGAGAACACGTCTCCACTGCTCTAGAGTCCAGTGGCGGCACTTTACACCACTGTATTCGACGCTTTGCATTGCGCTTGGTGATGTAAGCGCAATGGCTTAGATGCAGCTGCTCAGCCATGGAAACCCATTCCATTAAGCTCTCTACACTGTTCTTGAGCTAATCTGAAGGCCACATGAAGTTTGGAGGTCTGTAGTGATTGTCTCTGCAGAAAGTTGGCGACCTCTGCACACTATGCGTCTCAGCATCTGCTGACCCCGCTGTGTCATTTTACGTGGCCAAACACTTCGTGGCTGAGTTGCTGTCGTTCCCAATCGCTTCCACTTTGTTCTAATACCACTGACAGTTGACTGTGGAATATTTAGTAGCAAGGAAATTTCACGACTGGACTTAGAATGGTGGCATCCTATCACTGTACCACACTGGAATTCACTGAGCTCCTGAGAGCAACTCATTCTTTCACTAATGTTTGTAGAAGCAGTCTGCATGCCTAGGTGCTTGGTTTTATAAACCTGTGGCCATAGAAGTGATTAGAACAGCTGTATTCAATGATTTGGATGGGTGACTGAATACTTTTGGCAATATAGTGAACATATGACATTTTATGCAGGTAAGATTTGTGCCTGAGTGCAAACAGAACTGTACTCCTGTTCTGTAACTTCGACCTGGAGATCCTTGGCACCATGGCAGTCTTTTATAACCTGAGGATTCTTTATACATTTGCACATTTTTAATATAGATGAGTTATTAGATTTTTTTTGTGAAGGGGTTATTTATAGCCATTTGTTCAATAGTGGTCATAGTTTCTAAAACTATGAACTTCAACATCTCCGAAAAAGTTACTTTCAAAAGCCAATTTTTTCTTTAGAATCTTCAAAAGATATTAGGGTCCAGCCAACATAGAGGTTTGAAACTTTTCATCATTATAATAATCTCTTTCCAGTATGTTACAGAATCTCTGTAAGAGAGGAACACCCTATAAATGCATATGCAGTGAAGCAAATGTACAAAAAAGCAGCTCCACCTCTTTCAACTTATTACAGGGTATTTTTTAATAAATCGCAGGGGCCATTTTTAAACATGAAAATGTTAGTAAATCTGCCCCCTAATTTGTATTTTCATAGGGCCCTTGGCTCATGGGAGCACTAGGTGGCTGCCTGTCTTTGCCTAGTGCTGCACTTCTAACAAGTTATTGCAATTGTTAGAAGTTCCAAGACCTATAATGTGTCTTAATGAATGCAATTTCTGCTTTCAGCAACTGCCTCCTTCCAAAAAATTAATAAACAATCTGAAAAAAACATTAAAAATGACCGGGATTACAACAATACCTTTGTTGTCCAGTAATATATTGGTGCAAACTCATAATTTCTATCATGCTAAATTATTGGAGTCAGCTTTTAGCAGTCATTGATTAAAGACTGAATGAAAGATAAACAGCAGATCAACAGCAGGTGAGACGCAAAGATATGAAAATGTTTGTAGTTGCTACAGATGTTTTATTGTTTTTTTTTTTATATAAACTACTTACAGAATCAATCTGTTGACAAATGAAGCATAAAATTACTTACGGTGATATGTTTTCTGTAAAAGGTGAAAGCAGATGAAATGTATACTGTAGGTTTACAATATTTACAGTTATGAAAAAAAGAGTACTCACAATCTCACACACAGTACAGAATAGACTAAACATTCACTAACATTTATTCTGGTGGCCCCCAAAGCATTACACTAAATGAAAAATGTGCGTTTAATAAAGAACAAACGAAGGTAAGAAAAGGTATCTAAAATAATCTAAATCAATAACACAAGGTTACACAACAAGATTTACATATAAGGTGACGTACAAGAGATTCCCCAAGATAATCTGAATCATTTAAGTTTTAACACTTATTTATCAACATAATACTTCAAAATGCCAAATAAAAGACTGATGAGGACAGAAGAGCAGTCAAACTTTGCTCATTATAATATGGTTGCTGTGTTGGAGAGGATGGAGCTTGATGGTTGGTGTAGTTTCCTCTTCTCATGTTTGTACTGTGCTATAAATTGAAGTCTCACTATTCCTGCGAAAATATAAATGTTGAGAACATATCACCAATGTTCTTAGAGAAAGTGTTGAGAAATGTGTATTTGTTTTATTTGTTTATTTGTTTTTTTTTTGATATGCTGAAATAAAAATGCTTTAACTGGTTTATGCACTTCACACTGTCAGAACAAAAATTTACTGTAGAGGCACATTTTTGTTCATGAAGTTAGAAACAATGCAAATGAACCCTCAAAAGTACAAAAATGGTCCCACTGTGTACCTCAAATGAGTTTTAAAGTACACTACATTCACATTCCCTGGGGAAAAGCCACATCTGTATTTTTCAACTACTTAACATTTTAAAATAGAAAAATAAAATAAAAGCCTAAAGTTAGTATGGAGCAATAGGGAGTTAATGTAAATTGTAATGGAATACTGTACAATAATGTTCCATATCTAAAGGCACTGAAGACGTAGTAAGACCCAAAACCTCTTTAGTTTGAATCTACATTAATTGGCCATTTTGTTTTTTTTTATTTTTACTGAATTTTCTCCCCAATTTAGTCATCTCCAATTCCACAAGTTAGGACTCCCCCAATCACACGATACTATCAACGCTAGGAGGGTGAAGGCTAACACAGGCTTCCTCCGAGACCTGTGAAGCCAGCTACCGCTTCTTTTCGAACTGCCGCTCACGCAACGTCATTGGACAGCTGAACGCGCTCGGAGGAAAGCGCCAACCGTCAGTTCTGATACGTCAGCTAACAGACGCCTGCGCTGACTAGCATTGTGTTGAGTGATGGGGGGGCCATCTTTCCCACCCAGAGATCGGGCCAATTGTGCTCTCTTGGACTCCCGGCTACGGATGGCTATAGAATCACCAGGGTCGAACTCTACAATCTCCTGATGATAGGGCCAACACTTAGACGGTTGCGCCACTCGGGAGCCCCTCATTTTTATCAGAAACACCTACCTCACTTCCTACTCATATTTAGCAAGCCAAAGTTTCTCAGTAAGGGTGCGCTATTAGCTTCTATGAGCAGGAAAGAGAGAAAACCTCCGCAAACCCAGAATCGTTTTGTGACTATCCTACATACATTGGGGAAATACATATTCAACATTTCAACAACTTTTTTATTAAACATATTTCTCATGTTTCATATGAAATTTAAAACTATACAGCTAAGGAAATCTTAAAATTTAACCAAATAGAAAACCAAAACAGGCTCATTAGAATTTGTGTACAAGTTCTTTAGAGGATTTAGAGGTTCAATATTCATAATAATGTATTTGTCTCTGTGGCAAATTTGCAATTTATTTCTTGCCTACATGTCCATTTAGACAAAGAGGCAACAACAGTCCACCCCACTCAGCCTGCCACCATACCCATATGCACAAGCCTGCAACATGTTGGCTGTTTACCGACTATGACCCTCACCCACGGTGTCTCAAAATGAATCCCACCCACTAATTATTTAGCAGACTACGTGGGACCTGTGGGTGACCTCACCTTGTACAGACTTATACTCTCAAGAATTCTTTTCTTGAAAGAAGGTAGAAATAACTGGATTTGCTAGAATTGAGGTGTCATTCTTTGTGTGTGTGTGTGTGTGTGTGTGTGTGTGTGTGTGTGTGTGTGTGTTCAAGGCATGCATAACTGATCCATTTGCTTCCTCACCTACTGAACAGCTCTTGGTTTGGAGAGTTTCACTGTGCTGTACTCTACTTCCTCTTCTTGTTTAAGAGCGCCTGACCGATGGACAGTAGAGTAGAGAGGCACTTCCTGTGCGTGAGAGCGTGTGAACTGAATGCTGGAGTACTGAACTTCATCCCGATCATCTGAGGCTGCTGTCTTTGTGGGGTCAGAGGTCATGGCCAGGTCTGAGACTTGATCATACACAGGAACAGAGGCATACTGAGAAAAAAGAGAGAGAGAGAAAGAGAGATACACACATAATGAGATACTGTAACCAAAAAAATTTGGTTAAGCTGGCAGTTCACTTCAAATGACAAACGAACTACATGAAATCAAACTACAGCCAAATCTGCTGTTGTAAGTATTTTTAAAAAGAACTTGGTGTAAGTGTTTGACACTCCACACTGCTATAGGCCCACTCCGTGTGGGGACATGGCCAAATGTGTGACATGTCAACCAGTCACATGAAGCATGTTTTGTGTCAAGTTGTCTTTTTTGTTTGAAGTATACCATCAACTGTGGGAGCCCAAAAGCAATGTTTAATTTTTGCACTTCTGCCTGGGTGGGGAACTGAACCCTAATTTCCAGGATTCAGGGTTGTGGTGTTATCCACTACACTACTGATTTAAAAAAAAAGTTTAGGAAGTTATTACTGCCCCATACAGTCACATTATTTTTAGTTGTTGTTCAAAATAGCCATATTATGAAATATGTTGTTTTCTTATTAAGAGATTATCTGTGCTTACAATTTCAACAGATGTGGATGCGGGCATCTGTAGCAAGTTGGAGCTGACTAATTTTGAAATTTTCATAGGTGCTCAACACTGCACAGCATGCAAGAGGATGAAGCCCATAGAATCTGACCGACCTACAAGCTCTGTGCTCATGGCGAGGCTGAGTCAATTGGGCCCAACCAAAAGACATCTCAAACAATGGTGGAAGTAATACAATATACAAAAGGGCACTGGTGCAGTCTGGGACAGACAGACATTCTGGGGTCTGTCTGTGCACATGCTTGATTAGACGTACCTCAGTAAAAGTCACATTTCTGCTGTCCTCTTCACTCCTGCTGCTGGAAGCTGCTGCTCGTCTCCTGTTGGAATATATACAGATACAAAAATGTTATCACGATAAGCAAAATTCATAGTCATTCATGTCAGAACATGACAAACACTCACCAAACAGTGGAACACTTCACAAATCTGTCATTGGACAGTGGGAGAAAGTGTCTGATTCGCTGTTTTTATCAGCTGGAAAAGCATGGCTGCAGTTTTTTTAATAGTCATAATTTAAGAAAGAAAACAGATTATTTTTAGCTGTCTTGTGACGAGCACTCGGCTTTCCCATTACAAATGCTAAACAAGTGGCCAAAAACAGTGCTAAACTGTTTAGTTTCTCAACAACGTCAACGTTAGTACGAACAGCAAATATTAGCTGATTCGGCACGTCAGTGATGGATCACACCGCCTTACTGCCATCACTCCTACCACATCCATGTCAGAGCATATCACAGTATTCAAACACCAGCTAGCGACGACTGGGTTTCTCTATAATATCATAGTAGTTTGAGGAGTGAACCGCAATATATCAACACCAATCAAATGGAGTCCTCCTTTCAGGTACGTTTAAACTGAAAGCGGTGCTTTTGTGTTTGATCTACAGTATCATCAGTTCGCCGTGCTATGTGAGTGACGGAGCGCTGCTTCAAGTTAGCCAGCTGTTAAAAACAGCTAGTCTGGGAAGATAGCGTTTTCTCGCTCTCCAATGCCTCTCACCACCAGGGCTGTCGCTAGAACGTGCAAGTGTGAGAATGGTGTATTATATCGAAAATTTACCGAACATGTTGTATCACTCTATTCAGGAAAAGTTATATCGCTATAATTATCATTATCGTTTTATCGCCCAGCCCTAAATCAGACTGTGTAATATCTTAAATGTGGTTTCAGCATCTTACCTCATGCACAGACAGATAGTGATGAATATCAGAAGCAGAACCACAGTGACCCCAAAAGCTGCATATTTCACGGCTGTGTAATCTGCAACTGCAGAAACATCAACATGTCACAAAGGTGGGGGGAATGTCACTGAAGTATTGCAGTCGATATACAGAGGAATGTGGAAGCAAGAAGAGATGCTGCATAAAACTGATCCAAAACTGGCATTATTATCAGTAATATTTGTTTTTGTTCATTGCAAACTGCAAAAATCTAAAGAATTCAGCAAATAACATACATGCTGTAACTGGCCATTCTGATGAGTTGTATGATCCAAATCTGTTCTCTGCTTTACAGAAGAAAAGTCCCACTTCTCCAGCTGGTAAAGTTAATCTGCTGGAGTTTCCAATCAGTATGACATCACTTCCTGTCTTCTTGAACCAGGTGTAAGAGCTGGCAGGGTTTGAGTCACTGACACACACCAACGTGTCCGAGTCTCCAGATACATTTGTTGATCTGGGAGGGTCTGAACAAAATAGACTCAACAAGTCACTGAACTGTCCAAAAACACAAAGCATGTAGAATTATAATGTTCATACCCCCTTTAAAAAATTCAGCAAAATGTAATATGCTAATGTCTGGAAATGAGTGAACTGAGTGTGTATTAAAGCCTTGCTCAGACCTGCCAACCTGTATGCATGTTGTATAGCAGGTATGCATTTAAGCTCAGCAAAAAGCCGGTAATGCCTGTGCGTTCAATTGCACGTGCGGTAGTAAATCTAATACTGTGTTCACATGTTTGTGGTAGACAGACGACAGCAAACAGGACGTTCCATTATTTTCAACGGAGCTGCAAGGGAATATTCTGCCACCACAAACCACAGTGATGAGCGGAATGCTCCATCATACGTTCAATTTTCCCAAATTCTGCTGTCGACCGCTGTGGTGGAATAAACCAAATGTTGATTTTGTTGGAAGCCGAACATCTCGTTAATGTATCAGACAAACCCAGTGTTATAAACCAATAAAAGAGTGCAGAGCATTCTCCTGACTTTTTCCACCTTAAATAAACGATCTAATAATGCATTAGAAAATAGGCTACAGCCCATTCATTCCCCTCTCCTCGCTCTGTCTGGCTGGTTTTACAAGGGTGGATGGTGCTTTTAAGTTTTTTTTAGAAAGGTAAATGGGCCGGGGGTGGATGTAGAAAGTTGAAACTGTGAATTAATGTTAATACAGACCAGCCAACCTTGGGAAAATATTTAACGTTAATAAGATTAGCCTAACGTTACGTAATTTGCAAGCTTTTGCTTGTTTAACAGGCATTTTAGTTGGCAAAATTACACTGCCCGTGTGTCACAGAGTGCTAAACATGACTCATAGTGCTGTATTCACAATTATTATTGCAGCCAAACCTGTAATTGCAATAAGAGGAGCAGATGTCAGAATGAAAAAAGCGAGGGCACATGCTGCAGAAATAACATTACCTAGAAAGTTACCTAGAAACATGTCAGATGAGGAGGACACTGAGAGAGAGAGAGAGAGAGAGACAGAGAGAGAGAGAGAGAGAGAGAGAGAGAGAGAGAGAGAGAGAGCAGAAGACATGGTCAAAGTTCCAAAATTTGAAGTGAACGTATGTAAAAATGCTCCCTGCAAGTCAAAAACTAGGGATTCAACTTCCTCTAAACTGACATCAGATTTTACACATGCCCACAAACAGCTGTCTATTCCTAAATGTAAATATGACTTTTATTAAATGAGTTCTTCTCAAGAATATATAATTGTATTGTTTTCTTCATATCGAATTCACATGCTGAATAACTAAATTATATGGTAATGAGTGGGGAAATGTGTGCTAAGTGAAGTGGTACAAAGGAAAGTGAACTAAGCAGTACACTTGTGCTACTCAAAATATTTTCCCAAGGTTGGCAGGTCTTAAAAGAGATGTCACAGTGTCCCCACTCTGGGGAGACTTTACTTGGACTGTTGTGTGCTGCTTGCCTGTGCACTGAGCTCCTGCTTGTGTTTGTTTGCCCCAAATAAAGCTACTCTGCATGTGCATCCTGCCTTAATGGCCCAGGTTTTTGGTACAGTAAATCACACAAATGTTATAAGTGGACCACAAGTGAAAAAATAAAATGTAAGAAAAATGTAGCATACAGAAATATTACTGTTCTCAGTTAAACAAAAAAACATGTGGGACTGAAACTATGTGGTACTTACGTAACACATTCAGACGGGTGGGTGTTGAGCTCTGCTGTCCTAGCTGGTTGTGAGCGGTGCAGTAGTAGAGTCCACTGTGCTGGGAGCTGATGTTGGTGATGGTGTAATTCTGGCCTGTTGTCAGTGGTGCGTCTGCAGCTGCTCTCTGATTAAACCAGGAGTAGATGAGAACAGGAGGGTTTGCATCACTGATGCAGCTCAGAGTCACTGAATCTCCCTCCACTTTCTCTCCAGAGGGAATGATCACCACACTAGTGTTTCTAGGAGAGTCTATAAAGAAAAGCACATTCTTACATACAAGTGCTTTTTAAGTTGTTTGGTATCTTGTTTGAGCCACACAGCCTGAAAAATCTGAAGCAGTGAAAACACTGATAGATGACAGATTGAGTGAAGTTTAAAGTGAAGTTCTTACAGACAGCAGGAGAGCGGAGCTTCTCATATGCTACAGCACAGGAGTAGCGGTCTGCACCCACAGCACTGACATACAGATACAGTCCTGTACTGTTTAGGGACTGGTCAGACACAGGCTGCCCATTCTTGTACCAGATGTAAGTGTGGTAGTTAGGCAGAGTGCAGGTGCTGTTACAGCTCAGTTTCTTTCCTCCACTGTCTGTGTCTGACACTGTAACCTTCAGATCTGCAGGAAGTTTTAAAACATGTTTACTGTTATTTTTATCTATAGTATGTTGTCGCACTAAATTAACCTTTTTTGATGATATGCAGCTCTACCTGTGACAGACAGAGTGACTCCAGGTTCTCCAGTGTATTCACCTCCATCAGTGTAGAATCTGAATCTGTATGTTTGAGCGTCTCTCTCTCTCAGGTGAGTGATTCTCATGCTACAGTCATTCTGGAAGCTCTGTCCGTACTGCACTCGTCCCTGATACTCCTCATCCTCTCTCACATCCACAGGCTCAGCACCAGCCTGCTCTTTAATGAACCACACTGATTTAGTGACCTGATTATCAGGGAAGGTGTAGTAACTGCGGATGTCCACTGATGAGCCAATCAGAGCACAGATAGCTTTAGGGGAGTAAGTCACACTCCAGCAGCTCTTCTGATTTGAATTAGCAGAAATACCTGAAACACACAAACTGGATCATTGAAAACTATGTAATAAACTAAAAAAATTAAACTAAAACCACAGTCTGTGATACCAGAACATGAAAACTGGGTGGGCTACTTTCTAAATTCAGACCTTTACACCTCGGACAAAGCTGGTATGAGTTAGATAACCTCACACAGGGGAAGACAGGAATCATTGGTCTAAAACATGGAACGTGCAGGGAGAACAGAATCTCAACTGAACCAACTGCTGTTAAGTGGACGTAGATAGTTCTGCTGTATTTACTAGTGATCAAAAGTTTAAGATTAGGATTACTTGTCATTAAAAATTGTTATATTAGTAAATTTATACAGTGTATTGATATATTAATCTAGACACAAGGAGATATTTAAAAAATGTAATATGTTTCAATATTTTGAATTTCTTTACTACATGAAAAATAATATATTGTAGTACAGAATATGTTTTAAGCTGCATTTTTTAAACGTAGATTTAATCCCTCCTCCTTCATCTGGTGCAGGTTACGGGTGCTGCTCATTTTCATTTTCTTTTGCAATCTTGTAAATGTTTAGCAAATTCTTTAGCAACCTGCACTGACACCTTTCAGGTCTCATTGAATTAAAGTAAAATATTTTCCCCCTTTGAAAGCCAATGTGAAAGATTTAAGTGAGATTTTTGAGCATTATGGAGGATCGCTTGCATTACTCAAGCAATTTCAAGTCATTTTCTATGAGAGCAACCACTGTCAAAATTACAGTGCTCATAAACTTTAGCCATTTTCAAATTCAAGGACTCTTAATGACTTATCCAGTACAAAAAAAAAACCCAAAAATCCAGGACCAAAGGTTAAGTACTCCAGTACTGAATATCCACAGCAAAATGATATGAACCTGAATTAAAGTGTAATATGTTGATGATTTTAAATTAGTAACGGCTTACAAAGATAGAAAGACAGAAGTATGTGCCATTAATGTAAAGGCATGAAAAAGTGTCATGAAAATACAACACAGTTTTTTTCCACATTAAAACTATACACACCAGATGTGTCACGTGTTTTGTTTTTTTTATATATATATATATATATATATATATATATATATATATATATATATATATATATTGTTGCTTTGTCATGCGGTTTCCATTTTGGAAAGTGAAAGGAGACCACCTCATTGGCCACATGTGTAACAAAATAATTTAGCAAACAATTGCTCTGTATAGGCTATTAGAAGTTTCTCTGAACAACAGCAACAGGCTGCTTTAGGAAACAGAGTGCTTGTAGAGTGTAATTTTGTTTTATTTATTTTTTTAATGATTATTTATTATTTAATTCTTTAGTTAATACTTGAATTACAGTGCAGTCATGTCAAATTACATTTTTGGTGTCTTTCTGACGTTGGAGATTCTTGGATCATAATTTTCATTTGTGAAAATGTACCAGTTGCTGGTATGCAGACAATTCATCATCTTGGTTGTCGTCATGCCAACAGCAGAAACGACCATGGTTGGTCACATCATCGGCAGTTCGCATCAAACAGATGGCAAATAAAATTTCACCGTCCAAAAATCGCATTTGTTGTGCAAGATATCACCGTTATACATGTGCTCAAATGAATTTATAGTCATTTGAATAAATCACACAAATAAATTACACAAATACATTGTGTTCAGGGTGTAAAAGCATTTAGACTACACCATAAGGTAACATAAGGTTACCATCCTGTCAGAGAATGGTAATATTTAACATCACTTACTAATGTGCATTAATGTATTTCATGAAATAAAAATAATTACAGAAACTCTTGATAATATTTTCCATGACTTTCAAGTACATTTATTGATCTAATAATTAGATACTGGATTTTGGCTCATTTATTTTGCATGACTTTCCAGGTTTTCCAGGACCCGTACAAACCCTGAAATTAACTTGCTGATTTGCAATTCTTTAAGGATGCTGGGCTTCACTTACACACTGCAGGAGAGCGGTGCCAGCTGTCAGACACCCTACAGGAGTAGCTGCCCTCATCAGATGAATGAGTGGAGTCTAGCACAACAGAGGCTTCATGTGATGCTGTGTATTGTCCATTTCTGAACCAGTAGTAGAACAGATTGTTGCCGAAGCTGCAGGTGGAACTACAGGTCAGTTTCACCTTTCTCTGTCCTGCAGTTTCACGATCCACATCCACCTGCAACTCTACACATCACACATACCAGAATTCTGTAAATTATCTTAAGTTTTGGATACACTAAATGACTTTTAAAGTCCTAACAGTGTGGATAACTGAAATATAGGAGATTACACACTAAACAACCTGGGATCATGCACTACACAGCTGAACATTTGCTGAACAGAACTGAATACACGTGTTCTCCTGTTTTTCACTGCTGTTTGCACTGATACAGTAAAGAAGCAACAGGTAATACATTTTTAGGTGAGGGTCCTGGATGTAAAGATGTGACCAGTGTGGTAGTTTTTGATATACATGCACTCGTGCTTGCATCTTAAACTCCACCAATTTTTCATGATTCCACACAGTAAATCATTAAGATGTAAATAAAGTCCATCAGAGTGGTTTGATGTGAAATGCTGTGAAGAAACTTACCAAGTCACAATTGTTCACATTGGTGGTGACAGGAACAAAATTTTTTTTGAACCCAATTTTCTCCCCAATTTAGTCGTTTCCAATTCCACCCGCTAGTTAGGACTCCCCAAGTCACACACAATGCTACCAACGCTAGGAGGGTGAAGGCTAACACAGGCTTCCTCCCAGACCTGTGAAACCAGCCACCACATCTTTTCGAACTGCTGCTCAACCGCCAGATCTGTTACGTCAGCTAACAGACTAGCATCGCGCTGAGCATCACCCAGAGAGAGCAAGGCCAATTATGCTCTCTTGGACTCCCAGCTACGGATGGCTGTAGCATCACCAGGGATCGAACTCACGATCTCCTGATGATAGGGCTAACGCTTAGACGGTTGCGCCACTCGGGAGCCCAGGAACAAAAGGAACTAAAAGCTCCCTCTCAGAAAGCTACTACATAAAATGGTTACGCATACATGGCCTGATGCCTGAAACACTGTTTTACGATAGTTTCGAGATAAGGTTTTGTCCTAAAACATATTTTTTAAAGCCATGCATGCTACACAATGCTACATTCAACATTAAACCACTCTGAATAACTTTCTTTACAGGCAAATAACTGAACTATTCAGAAATTTTGGACAATTTGTGGAATTCCTGTTTAAAAAGCTTCACTGCACATGTGAGTGTCTGTTCACCATTTTCCTTTATTTATTTGCTGTGTTTACTTCTTTCACTCCCTCAGTTTTTATTGGCTGTTGGAGGAATCCTTTCAGATTGAGTTGCTGACCAGTGTACATTATTAGATTATATCCAGAGTCAGGTCAAAAAACTGATATACTGTGACTGGTCTGAAACTCAATTGGGAGGCAAAAAATCTGTACTGATCTGAGTCTGTACTGCTCACACACTGCTCGATTTTTTTCTCTGAACTGACAAATCCAAAAATACGCAAACTACAGCCAAAGACAGAGCCAGACTGAGAACCAGGGGTAAAATCCGGGTAAAAGTCATGTAGTATAAACCCGGCTTCATTTGAAAAGACAGAAACTCTGCATCAGTGTGTGTTTATTTACCTGTAACAGTCAGATTAACTCCAGATGAAGCTGATATCCAGTCACTGCTTGATGTTCTGAATCTGAAGTTATAAACTCCAGAGTCTCTCAGTCTCACATCCCACACTGTCAGATCACAGTCATTCTGCTCTGTTCTTACAGAAACTCGTGCTGAGTATTGAGGATCTTTACTCAGGACTCGTTCTTCTCCATCAGAGCTCTGGAGCTGATACCACTCTCTCTCTCTGACTCTGGAGGAATTAGCTGTTGTATATTTACAGGAGATTTTTACTGCAGATCCAGTAACAGCACAGAGACTCTGAGAGGAGAGAGTTACACTGTGCTGAGCCTGAACTCCTGAAACACACACACACACGTACATGTACACGTACACGTACACACACACACACACACACACACACACACACACATATACACACACACACACACGTACACAAGTTCAGAAGTGAGGGGGAAACTCTTGTGCTCCAACTGACAGAGTGACCACAGTGAGAACTGCTGCTGTCGCTATGATCAACACAACGTGTGAAGTTGGCTGGTGGTGTTAAAAACAACAAAGGAAGTGACCTAATCTTAAAAAACTTAAAAACTGCACAGTTTGTACAATAGCTAGACACTGACAATGAGCATTTCTAGTTTAAATTTACAAAATTTTAAAGAAAAAACATCTCAGTTAAAAACAGTTTTACAGTTTTAGGTCATTTAGTTGGAATTTTGTACAGTTTAGAAGCTGATAAGAGAGAAGATCTAATTTACATATAAAACGCTTAAACAAATGATAAAATGGTGCAGTTATTACTTGGTTCTAGAGCTTCCTACTAAAGACATGTTTTTTTCTTTTTCTAAAGCTAGTTTGCAAGCAGTCCAGTCCAGATGTATTCAGTTCTGGTCCTGGAGGGTCAGTGTCCAGCCTTCTTGCTCAAACACACCTAATAAACCTGGCAGTTATCAGTTAACTACCGAGCTGAACCAGGTGTGCTGGAGCAGGAAACTGATTCATTTGATCTATTTGAAGTTTCTAAAATGTTCTAAATAAAAAAAGACTGTAATTAAAATGACAGGATACACTAAAGGGCTTTTCTATCTTAGACACTTTCAAGTTTACAAAATGAATATAAAATGTAAAAGTTTACCTATCAGTAATATGAGGATCACTGCTGCTGTGATATTCCCTGATGTTCTGGGAGTCATGACAGCATCACCCTTCAAACACTGCTGGTTCTTGAAGGTCTAGAAAATAACAGATTTAGGCAAAATTTAACTGATGAAGTATCAAAGAATTAATCCTAACTAAAATAAACGACCAGACAGAGTCACTCTTTCATCTATGAGAAGTTGATCGTGACTCTGCTCACTCTTACTCGCCCCACACTTAGAGCCTCAGTTGTGATCAAGCCAGCAGAGAGCCGGAAGACGTGTTTGTGCACTTTGCGGCATCACACTTCCCCTTTCAGTTCACAGTCTCTTCCTTTTTATTTTCTTATTCAAGACCACAAAACACTTTCAAGTGTGATTAAAATTTCTTTTATTACTTTTATTATTTTTACCCAAGTTTCTGCCCAAGTTGGTCATGACCAGTTCCACCCACTATTTAAGTCTCCCCCATCATGCCAAGCTGAGAGAGCAAAGTTTAGAACTTGTTTCCTCTAAGTTATGTGAAGCTTTTTTGAAACTGCCACTACGATAACCAATGTCACTGCTCAGTGTATTTGGAGGAGAACTTTACCTCATGTTACTTAACAGACGCCCACAGGGAATGCAAAATTTGCATTTATTGTGTTCACAGTAAATAGTCAACAGAACAATATAACTTGCTATATGTTATCATGATTATCATGGATGAGCTGCATTATGAACTAGAAACGTGAATGGCTGCGCAGCTTAAATAGTTCCCACTTCCTGCTAGGTTGTTGATATGGTATACAAGGCGTTGCTAGTTGGTTGCTAAGGTAGCACAGGTGGATGCTATGGTGTTGCTAGCAGAGCTGTAAGTAACAAATTACATTTACTCTCGTTACTGTAATTGAGTACAGTTTTCCCTGTAACGGTACTTTTTTGAGTAGAATTAAATCATAGTACTTTTACTCTTACTTGAGTTAACTTTTAATGAAATGGTTCTACTTTGCTACTTTCAATTTGCAATTTTCATAACGTTACAGAGTAAAAATAAATGATGATCATATCTGCTAGGAAACCAATACAAACAAAGCGTGGTTAAATTTCAAATATTCACCAATCAAAAAACAGCAGCTCCGGCAGGAAAAACACTACAGAGATGTCCAGTTTAGTGGAGAAGGACAGAGGAGAACTAAACCAGCACACACGAGGAACAGACCTCGTCCAAACGGTCATCTGTATTCATTTAATATGAACAAAAGAAAACAGTGTTATTATCAGTGACCAAACACAAAACCTGCTGAGATCCGCTCTCACAACTCGACTCCAGTCTGAGGCAGCATTAGCTGAGCTAGCTGATCTGAGCTAAATAGGTATCGTGTTTACGAGTTTCTTCTGTCTTTTATAATGATTCTGTTTATTAAACTTGAAATCTGTTGCATATATTTTATTACAGTGTCTGTCAGCTGCTTTAGTTAACAGGTGTCGCCCACAGACTACAGTTCACCCGTTTATACAGCCTAGTTTAGCTGCTGTTTTGGAGATAAACGGTCATGAACGGCTGTGAGACAAGAAATCTAGTAAAATACAGGATCTTCATCAACTCTGCACAGTGATTCTGGTCTGATCTGATCCCTCCCCACCTCCCCTCCCTCTCTCTTCCTCTTTCTGTTCCTCTCTCTCTCTCTCTCTCTCTCTCTTCCTCTTTCTCTCCGTCTGTGTCTCTCTCTCTCTCTCTCTTCCTCTTCTTCTTTTCCCTCTCTCTCTCTTCTCGCTGTCTCGTTCTTCCTCTGTCTCTGTCTTTCTTTCTCTCTCTGTCTCTCTCTCTGTCTCTTTCTTCCTCTCTCTCTCTCTCTCTCTCTCTCTCTCTTCTCTCTCTGTCTTTCTTCCTCTCTCCCTCTCTCACACCTTGGTGTTTGTCTTTAACTGATTAATGCAGTAATAATGTCTGATTCTATATGAAGTGAACAGCATGATTAGTGAAATATATTACAGAAAAATCAAAGCTGGGAAAGTTGCTGACGTTGCTGCTGATTTTAATGGTAGAAATGTTCTGAACAGATATCAGTGAAAATATACAGTTTGAAGGCTGTGAATGTGTTTACTGTCTGTAGAGGTTCACACCTATTAACCCAGGCTAGAGTCCAGGGGGCTTATGGGCAGCTGGACTCTCACTAAAATTCCATTATTAATTAAGCAATCTACCCATAATTTTCTCACTCAGTTTTTTTCTTAAATAAAGTTAATTAAACAGTAATATTCTCTGCACAGCCTTTCAGGAATTCTAAAATACATTATTGGGAACAGACAAACTAGGAAGTCTTATATAATCATCTATTCATGAAATGCATGCAGTTATAATGTAAACCTTGTTCCTTCTACAGCTCACAGAAAGGTGTGTAGATGTGCTCTAGCAGAGCGAACTGTGATCAGTCTCAGCTCTCAGAACTTTAGCTTCAGTGTTTTTCTGTACAGATTATTTCCAGTGACGTAGCCGAGTCAGCTCAGAAATATGTTCAGGTTGTGAAGCGACTCGGCGAGTAACTCGGTACTTAAGTAGTATTTTAATTAACTACTCGTTTACTCTTACTTGACAAATTTTATTTACTAATACTTTTACTTGTGCTTGAGTAAATTATCACTACAGTAACAGTACTTGTACTTGAGTAGGGATTTTCAGTACCCTTTACACCCCTGGTTGCTAGGGGTTTAGTATTGTTTCGCAGGTGTTTGCTAGGTGATTGCTATGGTATCACAGGTAGTCGCTAAGGTGTTACTAGGTGTTTGCCGTGGTATCTAAGTGGTTGCTATGGTGTTGCTAGGCGGTTGCTATGGTATCCCAGGTGGTTGCTAGGGGACTGCTAGGTGGTTGTTATGGTATCCCAGGCAGTTGCTAAGGTGTTGCTAGGCGGTTGCTATGATATCCCATGCGGCTGCTAAATTGGTGCTAGGCAGTTGCCATGGTGTATGGATGGAAAAAAAAGACCCACAGATGAGTGCGGGTTATTCACATAAATGCTTCATTCCTAACAAATTACTGCAATCATGCAATTAAAATTCTCTTGTGATATAAGACCATGATTGAAGTTGGTGTTTTACTCTGGTCTACAGGACTCTGTTCATTTGTGTTTATCACAATACAACCTCACTTCACATTTCTTTAGCAGTGCTGCAGCTGTGATTCGCATAAATTAAATTGTTCTTCTTGAATTTTTTTCATGAAAATCCATGATGTGACCTGATAGGCCCTAGATGAGTTAATGTGGTATGACCCAAATGTATACTTATAGGGAAATTTTTCAGATTTTCAGCTTAGTTCAGACATTGAGATATAAACAGAGTCAGTGTGGATTGATGTGAAATGGTTTCTTGTACAGGAACTTACCAACTCGGATTTCTTCACAGTTGTGTTGACAGGAAGCAAGTGTTACAATGTCTACAACACAAACGCAGCTATTCTATTTAACATCATAAAGACCAGTGAACACACACTTGTTCTGAGTAGCTGAATGCTTGAATGACAAATGACATCATAAATTCAGTAATTACTGAATGAATCATTACTGAATATAAATTTTACCTTCTGTCACTTTGGTGAGGTTGTGATAAGTGTTATATTATGATTTGCTTTACAACACTTTTACCACCCTCTTTACCCAAAACCACACTCTGAAAAATTATATATATATATATATATATATATATATATATATATATATATATATATATATATATATATATATATATATATACACACACACACACACCATTTTTAACACATTACATCATTATTTCACACTATTTGTTTACTTGACTTTTTCAGTGCAGTCATCCTTCAGAGTGTGGATTCAGAAAAAGAGGGAGGGAAATGGAACTGTTAGTGATATTCAGATATACAAATGGATTCACAACTGGATGAGACAATGACTCTAAAGCAAAAATATGTATAACCGATAATACAGGGAATTTATCCAACTAACAAACACTCTCACATCTCCATTTAAATGAAAAAGAGCACAAACTAACAATGTCACATCACTTATAACTCAATATTCTCTCATAGTCTCTGCACACTAAAAATGCTATAATATCGGGGGTGAGAATCACCAAAAGTGTGTTCAGGGAGCTTCTGTGAGCTTCAGCACACACACTGCTGATGATGTTATTACACCTACAATCATTTTAAAGACTTTAAGGTTCTACAGTTACTAGATTCTCTC